AATTAAAAAAATAAAAGGTAAATAACATAACCAATAATATCAGATATGAAGCCAATAATACAATTTACTACCAATAGCAGATTCACTGGCAACTATATCAAAATCATACAAATGATAATACACAAAAATGAGTGTGCAAGCGTGTGTGAGTGTGTGCATATATATCAGGAGTAGATAATAGGGAATTAATTCCCTATTATCTACTCCTGTTATATATCAATAGTGAATAATCTATAATTTAGGTTATGAATTGCAGATTGTTCACCCTTGATGTGTGTATTGTATGTGGGTGTGCGTGCATGCGTGCCTATGTTATGTATGTGTGTATTATGTATATATATATATATATATATATCATGCATAATGATATCCTATATTCTTCGTTTAGAAAGAAGCAGAAGGAAAACAAGGGAATAAGACAATGACTAAATAATATTAATAAGCAATAGTTTAAATTTATTGGTGAGAGCAATGGCAGGGAGGGAAAACGAACTGATAATAGATAGGAAGACAGAAAGAAAAACTGTTTAAATATGGAACATGATCTCATATTAGACTTAGGTGGTAGAGCCATTGTCATTGACAAATATGTATATTTGTTTGGTTCTGACAGAATATTCAATATTGTCCAGCTTTTTAACCAGTGCCTGTATTTGTGACTGCTTGTCGTAGTAGCAAAGACATGCTTACAATCACATGCTGCTCATATGGTAGCTGCAATTATTTTATACAAATTCCCACTCCACCGAATCATTATGTTGATTCTTATCTTCAACACGCCAGATGCAGGGAATGTGTTGGATAGGCTTTTTTGACATGATAGTTTGAAATGGATACTGTACATGTGCGCTTGTTATTACATTGTTACACAAATGCCAAAACATACATGCGTGAGGGATATAAAAAGGGCATGTTTATGTGTTGAAACCATTAAAGTCAAAAGAAATTGCAGACTATGAGACATTAAATCTAGATGGATGGCAATGCTAAAGTGACCACTATTTGGCATTTTAATACATTTGTTGATACCTACGGTGTACTGTATGTCTACATTAACTTTATTTGGCACATACAAGCGTTCTCAAATGGCTTATTTTGTGCATATCCCTACCAGATGGGGTCTAAGATAAAATATTGCTTGTTTTCCTTTTACCGACCGACTCGCCAAAACACCGCTACTCGACACATTTTATTGGCCGATTAAAACAAAACAAAAATTATTTCGTTTCGCCCCCAAAAAATCAAATTCGTTCTGCAAAAACATATACACATATACACATATACTGATATACAGTATACACATATACACATATACACATATACACATATACACATATACACATATATATACACAAAACAGAATATATAATACAATGTATACATACACACATCTTGTCAAAACAAAATGAAAAAGATTTTTTACCTACCTACCTACTCTGTACCCTGAGAGGCGAGTAGGTAAAGGGGAAACAAACAATTTTTTAAGGGTGGCCTGGCGTAATGGGAACTTTTGTGCATGCTGTTGTAGTGTATGTTCCTTACCCTTTGTGATGACCTTACCCCCCATATAGACTGCACCTAGGGACATAAAGCAGATATGAGAATCTCCCGCAGATCCGCGGTTTCCCGCGTTTTTCACTTTCGAAAATTATCAATTTTCCAAATCGTTCAAATCTAGCTGTTGAGAAAACTGTAGGTGTACTGCCACCCGCGGACAGTAGAAAAATGCCCAGCGGCTAGTGATGCTCTTTTAGTGTCTGAGCTCGCTGTCCCGCGGCCGACAAATGTACTTATTATTCATTCGCGCACTGCGCGGCAATGCGCGCAAATGAACAAGCTAGTTTTCGAAATTTCTGTGCCTCAGAACGCATAGATCTGCAAGCATCTAATTTTTTTTTTAATTCCCCAGACCCCCGATAGTGCTTAGCACCTGCGGTGCGCAATATAGCGCGTTGCGCTATTCTACCAGTAAGTAGAAATATATCCTGCGGATTTCGTCCGGGTCCGTTCTCATCTCTGATAAAGGTCAAGTGCTCCAGCCTCCATGATGTGCCCTGATAGACATGCTCTTATAGCCTTATATTTAAAGCAAAGATTTCTCATGTTTTTACCAAACGATTTCATATTTTCTCAACCGTTCTGATACCGGTACTCCTTGCATAACTTGAAATGTATATAGTAACTAAGGTTAACATGTTGTAGAACACTCGCACAACATTCTTTCCACCAATATGAGCACCGATCTACATTTTTAATTAGATTGTTTGCATATGTCAACAAACCTATTATGTTATTTTTGCTCTCGTGAGACCGGAACCCTGTCTCTACACTAGGTTAATTACTATTGTTCACATTTCAAGATAGGTACCAGTATATAAATATTAAATTTGCGTCACGTAACTACGTAAAAATTCCATTATCGTGAATCTGAACTAGCAGGCGCACGTTTGCTGTTCATCTGCTGTTTTACAGTCTATAACAGCACAAATTAATGTGTTATTAATTGATTGATGTGTCTGCACTGTGTCTGGCGACCAGCTGGATTCTCAGTCTATGTTCTGTGTTATGAGTTGTAATTCAATGTAAGCAAGTGCGATGGTGTAACCTGTTTTGAAATTACTGTTGTAATTCTACGCACATTGCTGCCAGAGTAAAGATGACAGATTATCCTGGTAATATCAGAAGTTCATAGTAGACGGCTAGTTAGATCTTTGAAAGAAGTCTATTCTTAGAAACCTTCAGTAATATTATTCGTTATAGATAAGGGAATATGTTTTATTATATAGTATTCTTGTGGAAAAACATCTTTTTAATATTAGTACTTATAGTATTATAGAATTGATAAAGCAAACTTCATTTTAAATTCTATCAATTTCGATTGACAACAATGATCTGGTAGCGACCGCTATACAAATGTCAATTGTCAGTACCAGCCACAGACCACTGCTGTATAGGTGGTACGGGCCATGCCTTCGTCATGCAGTACTACTGACAAGCGTTTAAATTGTGCGTTCGATTTGCTTCCCCAAGTTAACCTGGGTCTACTCGGGCCAGCCCCAAATACGTACGATTTGGCAGTCACGTGGTATTTTTGCGTTACCCGGGTGAGGCCGAAGTAACCCTCTAGCCGAGCCGCTCACCTGGGAAAGTATCCCACAATTCATTGCAACGAAATCTTCAAAATCTTCAAAAATCAAAAATCTTCAAGCAGTAATGAAGCATGACTGTCGATGACTGCGTGTGTTTGCTCATTCTCAGATTTCATTAATAATAAGATTGCAATTGCTATTCTTTTTTCTTGTCACTGGCATCCATGATGATAATTTAATCCAGGTTAACCCAAAAACCGTTCGTTTATCTTCCCTAACCCAGATGCGTTCGATTTTTTACCCAGGTTAATCCAGGTGGCTCTGGGGAAGCAAATCGAACGCCCTAAAAGATACACTCAATGTTTTATGAAATTTCATTGATTTTTCATTTTCATTCTTATTCGATAGCTAACACTAGGTGTCACCTCTGTACATGCTTATTTCTCCATATACCGATGGGAACTTCCAGAGCATGTTGATTGCCCGCAACCCCGCATACATGTGTAGCAGGAGTAGATAATAGGCCCTATTATCTACTCCTGATGAGTAGTGAGCCATGGCCATTTAAACACACATTTACTGATGACGTCAGATATATGATCCAACCAGCCTGTTCACGGCAAAAACGGGTATTCATTATGCCAAAATCTATCAGACTATCAGCCTCAACCCTTCTATAGCCTTCAATAGTTGAAATTGCCATTCACAATATTTCACATACTTTCATACATTTCGCTCACAGGCAGTCGATCATTGTGAAAAATAGAAAATGGTGATTTCTCCGTTTGGATTTCTGCTACAGCAGCCGATGTATAGATGGATATTTCTTAGTCATTACAACTCTGATTAATTTAGTGGGATACAACACCATAGAATTTTAGGGTATATTATGATAGTAAGTGCATAAATAATAGTATATACCTACAAATTTCTATGATCATGCATTCACATTTGTCATTAAAGAACAGTGAATTTCGAATTCTCTATTTTTGGCCACTGACATGACACCCCGCGATTGTGCTGCCACCCTGACAAAGTTGCCCTATTTGCCGATTTATTTTTCACGTTACAGACCGAGGGCTAATTGCAAAAGTGCCATTATATTTATACCTAACTATTTAACAGAATGATATTTATTTTAGGACAAATTCGTTCATATTATAACTAAATCTAAAAATTGTGTATAAGATATTGTAAATGTAATACTTCTTTTAAATTAATAAATAAGAAAGTTGCGATGCACAACTTTGAAAGCAGGTAGTCTAGTAGTGGTGCCACCGTCGTTGTAAGCAACGATACAGCCATTAGTTTTAAAACATTTAAAAAAAATATATTGAATGGATATTGATCAATGAAATTTGTACCGTAATTGAAACTTTTCAAAAAACTTTTCGTCCTGGAAGATTTGATGTTAGTGTTCCTGACATTAATTGCTTGCTATAGGCTATGTATGCGTCACGAGTGTATGTTCACATCGAACAATATAGTAAAATAAGAAGTATAATGCAGCAATTTAACCATAAAAAGTAAACAGAATTACTTATATTTTTATTTTTTAGTATTTACGGTGACGTAATCACTTTAAGTAATAGAGGTGTTGTACCAGTCTAGAGCCACTACCTCACTCAATAAGATGCACTTTTGTCTTGTGGTTGCCGATTTCAAAGAAATTGTCGTTATACAATTGATACGGAGAATGTGGCAGCATTATTTGCTATTTTATATACCGTAACAGCATAAACCAGCATGGTAATTTTTATACTGGTGTAATCAGTAACGTGTTCGCTATTAGCTGAAACTATATTTTGCTATATTTTTCTCGATTATGGAGAACTATGAAATAATTCATTTAATGTGCGCACACAGCACCAACATGCGTGCGATGTCTGAAGTGCTTGTGTGATGTTGCAGGATCCGCATGAGCTGCTGCGGTCCATCCAGAATCAGCTGATGAGACAGCCTGCTGGAAGTCCTCTAGACAGCAATCTGATGGCTCAGATACAGACCCTCACAGAGCAGCTGGTGAAACAGGTGAGGCGTGCAGAGTGCCCCAGCAGAACAGGAGCCTGTTGTCAGAAACAAAATTAGTCTTAACACTAATATTTTCTCGTAGATCATCCACAGCACTTTGTTTCGTATTGTTATGAGGAAATCTGCTACGATTTTTCATTCAGGTAACTTTGCAGCGTTTCTGTCGACGGTCTGAGAAAAAAAGTTAACGTTAAGACTAATGTTAAGACTAGTTTTGTTTCTGACAACGGGCCCCAGGCTGCAACAGTGTATGACACTGAAGGCTATGACCATAGCGCATTTTTTATCAGTATATCAGCTATATGGGTTGAATTCGGGTCGGTGTTAGATCTGGAACCACTTAATCACTGTTCCCGTGTATCCGTGGCTTGATTGTGGAATCCTCGTGCAAGGCACGAATATAAATTAAAGGCACTTTTAATGTTAATGTACAAGATATGTAAACTTGCATCCAGGTAAAGGAATAACTTTTATCGACATTATGTTATAGTATGTTCTTATTTCTTACTATCATTGAAAGTTTTTGTAACACGGTTCTGCTTTGCTTTGCAGACACTAGACCAAAATGCAGGAGGAAGGTAAGCCGCGTACTGTGTTTTGTCTAACAACAAGCATTGTTTGAGAAATTACATCTGTCGAATACTGACGGTTTGATTCTGTGATCGCAACATGATACCGTGGTGCTGAATTCAGTGTTCTGTCATAGCGGGATTTTGTCCGACCCAGACCTGCTGAAACAGATACAGGACATCTCTAATGCACTAATGGCGACAGAATCCGATGAAGCACCAGCTGTGACTAGCTACTCATCTGGCAGTGAGCAGGACGACAGGTTTGTGAAGCAGCGAGTGCAAATGTCATTCACGTGTCTCACTAGCTGTGAAACTTTCATTCTTCAAGCTGAACATGTTACTGTTTAATTCGATATGCTAGACTCTGCTGTTTGTCGGACCTGTGTGAATAATGGAACGTTGATGACATAAGACTATTAAAGACTAATGGCAAACATGGTAAGTTTGTGTATTGTAAAGGTAAAACAAATTTAAGCTGGCATTTCTGTTTGGCAGCTCACGGTCGTCAACTCCAAAACGCTACAGGGAGAGAGATAAGGAACGTTCAAGGAAGCATCTACCGGCAGTGAGAGATAGACACGGCTCGTGTAAGTCTATGGCTACTCGTGGCATCAACTACTTTGTTTTGATTGGCATAATGCATGATTACCGAACCTTGATTACCAAAGTTACCGATTTGCACTGACTTCTTGAGAATGTCAAGAATATGTAAAATGTTAAAATAGTATTATATTAAACACCGATTGTATAGAATGGGATGTTCGTAACAATGTAAGCTCTAAGTAAGGATCAATTAAAATGTCTTGATTCATTAACATTCCATTTGCGAAGCACATTGTTCTGTTAGGGTTAGTTTTATGATCTAACTTGTTGGTGCAGGGTGTGAAATTAACGCGAGTCCGGGGTCAAATACTCCTTGATTTTCTGTCGGACTCCCTGATTTGACATATGCATGAGTCCGTGTGACTCCCTGAAAATTCTGCTATACTAACTAGTTCGTTCCAGAGCACGACCTTGCGGAATTGCCGTATTTTTTTCAGCAAATGTCCAAAGACATTTTGGCAGACATGCAACTGCATGAATCTTCAAAATAAGCACATGCATTATTGTTAATATCTTTGGTTTTGAACTTCAGGCTGAGGACTCCCTCTTTTTGAGGGCAGGGAGTCCGCTGGACTCCCTTGTTCAAAAGTTAATTCATAACCCTGTTGGTGCACCAACTTTTTTGGTTCTCAATTTTCTCCTATGACATGGTTGACTCATGTGTGTTTCAGTGTGCACGCGTACGATCTGGGTGGGCCATCTGCGTCCGATCATCACGGATACAGAGTTGCAAGGCGAATTTGAGGAGTTTGGCGGAGTTGAATCGATTTTTGTAAGTATGCGCTGTATTTATCTCATTATTAACTGTTACTTAACAGCATGCTGCTTGAATAAGCGGCGCAGGAGTTCGGGTATCTCATTGGTAATCTCATCGTATTGCAGATGATTCCTCCAAGAGGCTGTGCGTACGTTGTCATGGATAGACGAGAGGATGCGTATCGAGCCCTGCGTGCGCTTAGCAACGTGAAGCTGCACTCTTGCGTCCTCAAGGTGAGTGGTCTGCCAATTTGTCGAGTGCTCTGTGCTGTGTGTCTCTGCCTGTGAGCTTGGCTCGAGTTTTGCCAGGATAAATTGCTGCAATGTGAGCTTCTCGGACACTGCCATCGGCAGTTGCTGTGTGATTCACTGGGAAGTCACCATAGTGGCACTGCTAGAAATTTACGGCATATGTTGAAACTTGTGAAATTTGTATATGTAACAGCAAAGCTAGCAATATATGTTCTCTAGAGCCAAAACAACCCTCAGTTACTGCTACTCCTAGTTAGACGTCTAATGAACTGGTCACCAAACGGGCAAACGAGCATGGTGTATTAAAGCAGACCGATTTGACAGATGGACTGGGCTCCAGGCAAAGGTGTGAAGTACGATGACAACTACCAGAAATACTGGGATGTTGATCAAGGGGTATCGTACATCCCATGGAAGAAGCTGCCGACAGATCTGTCCGCACTGAATCTGATGAGTGAGGGCGCCATGTTTGATTTGGAAAGTCTGCCTCCACATCTGAAAAGTAAGGATTTTGGCACAGCGCAAAACGTGTCTTTATGTAATGTAGCACCGGGTTTTAGAGTGCCATGGCCCAGGTAGTAATTGCTGTAAGGCGGTCACCCCTTTCATGTGAGCAACTTGATGGCTCTTAAAACATTAACTCACTTGTAGGTGCGTTTGAGCAGCAGAAGCAACCACTGGGTGCCATGTCGCAGCAAGATCTCATGAATATGGCTGCTGCTCAGGACCAAGACTTTGCAATGGGCGGCCACGGCATGCAAGGTGAGATGTTCTGTGCTACCTGGCTCAGTTTCGTTACATTCATTTTAGTTAAATTCACCTAGCAAGCGCGTTGTTGCGTTGCTGTGCGAAAGCGTTTGTTACCGTGTTAACTAACGTCAAATCTCACGACGTTGCTGGTGATGATTCATTCTTTTAGCACGGCTAGTACTTGGAACATTTACATCAAATAGCTTTGCGTCAAATACTTGAATCGTATTCTTTGCTACAAATCCGTATGTGCACACGTCCTTTGAACGGATTGTAATTGCAGCTCCTCTACACATGTCTGGAGTGGGGCCTGGTATGATGCAAGCGAACCCAGCAGTCGCTCCAGACCTTCTAAACCAAGGCATGGTGCCTCCGTCATCGATGGGCGGCCCGAGGACCCTAACCCAAGTGCTCTCCGGCTGGGCGCAGAAGCAGGCCGGCTTCACGCCGCCGCCGGTGGTGATGCAGCCGCGCAGCATGATCGCGGTTGGCATGGCTCCACCGCCGGACATGCTGCAGCCACGCATGCACGCGCCGGGCTCGGGCGGCCCCCCCGCTCATGTGCTGGGCCCGGGCGGCGGCGGCCCCGGTCCCGTGCCGCTCATGTCCATCAACACTATGCCGACCGGCAGCGGCGGTGCGCCCAGCAAGCTCGCTCTGCTTGCTACACCGGGCGACGCGCTGCGCGCAGGACCTGCCGTCAACCAGCTGCCTCCGCAGACGCCTCCTATACAGGCCCCTCCCATGCAAGGTCCACCCATGCAGGGTCCCCCCATGCAGGGTCCACCCATGCAGGGTCCCCCCATGCAGGGGCCTCCCATGCAGGGTCCCCCCATGCAGGGTCCCCCCATGCAGGCGGGCCCGATGCGTGGAATGCTGCCGAGTCCGGCGCAGGTGCCGCCGTTTGGCAACGCGATGATGCTGCAGGATTCCGGCCCGTACGCGCGCGCGCCGGGTAACGTGATGCGCATGAACAGCGCAGCCGAGATGGACCAGCCGGTTGGTTTCCCACCACACGGGGGCAACGCGCCGGGAAGCTGGCAGGAGGTGCCCGCGTGGCAGGAAGAAGGGCCCAGGTGGGGGCGAGGCGGAGGAATAGGAGGAGCCGACGGCAGAGGTGACCGCAACGAGAGGGGAGGGTTCGCCGGCGCCTACACGGGCGGCGGCGGGTACCCCGATCACACGAGTGTGCCTCCTCCCAGAGGCTTCCCCGAGCGGGGTGCGGCGACGCGTGGGTACGTGGACCGCGGGAGGGGCGGTCACCCGAGAGCACAAGGTAACCGTGGCAACTGGCAGGGCCACGATCCTAACTGGATGAACAACAGGTGGCAGCAGGAGGCAGAGGAAGAGGAGGCATCTGTCGATGGTGGTGATTTCTCTTTTTCTTCGGCATCGACAAGGAAGCCTTCGTGGCAAGAACAGGGCAGAGGTGAAAACGATTCATGGGTGCCGTATCACAATTCAAAGCAGAAACAGAGAGTGAGCAGAAGCCAACAAGATGAGGAAGACGTCTTTGAAACTGCAGCAACTAACAGGAACAGCAACGAAGGTGATCGGCGTAAATTTTCTGTGTCTTCAAAGTGGAAACAGCAAGATGAAGAGAATCGCTATGCTCTACCTCTTTCGTTCAGTTCCGCAAAGTGGAAACACCAAGGAAGACAGAGTGAAGAAGCCGAAATGCTTGAGTCATATAGCTCCACATTGCGTCCAAACAACGACAGAATAGAAAGCAAAGAGTCGGTTGCGCCGATGCCATTGAAAACGAAAACACTAAAGGAGAAAGATGAAACTGTTGAAAGTAGTGTGAATGCTGTGATTTGTGATAATAAGCACGTTGAAGGAACTGTTCACCCTCGCCCCCTCGCCAATTACTGGGACGAATGGCAAAACGGGGAGCAGTCAGGCTTTGGGCGATCAGAATGGAGTAACGAAAATCTGACAGAGCCAACGACACTGCCGAACCCAATGCGAGGCCGACCGCAAACGCCACCTGGCGAGTATCCGTACCACGATGAGGACGCTGCCGAACAGTTGCTCCGATTGGACGATGAGCGTGAGAACTGCGCCGAATTTGACGAATCCGACGACGACGTCGACTCCTTGGTGTCGCGCCTCGTAGCAGCTCTCGTCGCCGATGTCATCGGAGAAACTCCTTATCCATTTGCGGAGGTTGCAGCGCGCTGCGCTCGGGAGAGTGAATGTGCTAGCAGTAAGTCGGATACAGCTGTTGAACCCCACACGTTGACGACAATGGCAGACGCCGCACGCGGTGATATCAGTAAAGACGAAGAGCCAGATCTCGCTGCCTTTAGACTGCCTTCGACGTTTTCTTTGACAAGAAGGGCTGTGGATGAGGAGGGCATGCTCAAGAAACCAGTTCCCCATAACAGCGACGATCATAAAGATGCCTGGGATAGGGAAGGTCCGCGTAGGAGCACCACGCAAGCAACGTCGTTTTCGCACGGAAAGGTTGCCGATGCGAAGCAGGGTCCCACCGAGGACGCAGGTCGTCCACATCCGCAGAAAGAGTGCGGTTATTTTCGACACGACTTTGACGCGGCGAGAGAGCCGCACGGCTACGAACAGCCCGGCGGTTACAGGGAATTCCGAGGGCGCGGCTGGCGTGGCCGTGGCGACTACCGCGGCAACTTCCGCGGTGGCTTCAGGGGCCAAGGAGATTACTTCGGTGATATGCGAGGCCGGGGCAGGGGCAGGGGTCATGCACGCGGATACCACGACGCAAGATTCAACTACTGGGAGGAACGAGATGGCAGGGGCAGGCAGGCTGAGTTCGGTGACCGCCGGTATCCAGATGGCGATCGCCGATATCCGGACGACAACCGCAGGTATCCTGACGACGATCGCAGGCATCCGAACGACGATCGCCGGTATCCTGATGACAATCGTCGGCATCCTGACGACGACCGTCGGTACCCTGACGACGACCGTCGGTATCGAGACAACGACCGATCCAGCGGCAACAGGCACCTGAGCCGGGAGAGCAAGTACGAGAAGCCGCCGCGCGAATCGCCGCGGCGGCACCGCAGCGCCGGCGAGGCGAAGAGCGGTGGAGACTTTGCGCAGGAGCTGAGCCGCTACGAGCGCTGGCGGGACGAGTCGCGGCTCGACCGCTCGCGCTCGTACGGTCGCAGCAGCAGCGACGAGGACGGCTGGTTGTCGGAGGAGAACCGCTCGATGGAGCACGTCCCAGCGTCCAGGAGGACGGAGAGGTACGAGTCGGCAAGCGAGCGCGACAGCAGGCAGAGCCCGCATAGATCCGTACGAGAGTCGATCGAGTCGAAGAGGCGATACAGCGAGTCGTCCAGTCGTCACGGTTTCGAGGCGAACACGACCAAGGTTCCGCCGGCGAAAAAAGTTGCGCCGCGACCGAAAACTCCGCCGCCGACGAAGAAACGAAAAGCGGAAGCATCCGTTACTCGATCTCCCGTGGCCCAGGTGGCGCCACCGAAGCCGGCCGCGCGCACGTCTGCCCCTAAAGCGAGACAGGCCGCAGTGAAGCGAGCGCTTTCGCCTGCCAACTCGCCAGCTACCAAGCGCATTAGCGTACGACCGGCACCGGTGGTGGAAACAGAGGAAGGTGAGATTCTATCCGACGAAGACGACACACCGACGGTCGACGCGTGCGTGTCTGCGGGGTTGCGCGCCATCGTGGACACGTCATCGTCGTCATCATCGTCGTCGTCGTCGTCGTCGTCGTCGTCGTCGTCGTCATCGCAGTCGAGCGACAGCTGTGATGCGATGATGATGCAGGATGTACCTGCAGGCGTCAGGTCATCTCCGAGACGGCAGCGGGCGCCGCGTCCTGGCAAGGATCACGCAGAGGACGGCCAGCGAGGGCAGGAGTCTCCTCCTCAGCCGCCTGCTCGAGAACCGCCTCCTCGAGTTCCCGTCGAGGAGGAATCAGCCGACGTACATTCCAGTCAGGGTCGCTCCTCTCTCGCACACGACGAGAGGGGGGTGGCGGCGCACGACGAGAGGGGGGTGGCAGCACACGACGAGAGGGGGGTGCAGTCACATGACAAGAGGGGAGTGCAGTCACACGACGAGAGGGTGGCGGCGCACGACGGAGGGGGGTGGCCAGCACACGACGAGAGGGGGGTGGCGGCGCACGACGAGAGGGGGGTGCAGCACACGACGAGAGGGGGTCCAGTCACATGACGAGAGGGGGGTGGGGGCACACGATGAGAGGGGGTGGCGGCACGCGACGAGAGGGGGTGGCGGCGCACAGACGAGAGGGGGTGGCGGCGCACGACGAGAGGGGTGTGGCGGCACACGACGAGCAGGGGGTGGCAGTCACACGCGGAGGCAGCCGAGGACGTGTCGTCGTCGTCGGAGCAGCACGATGACAACAACTGCAGTCCGTCGGACAGCTGCCGACGCCGCGGTGACGATGGCGCATCGATCGCAGCCACGGCGCGGTGACACTCGACGACTCGAACGTGAGCAGCGGTCTGCAGGACGCCATCATGGACAGCACGACGCAGTAAACTGCCGTACACTGCCAGCCACCACGCTCTGCAGCAGCAGCAGCAGCAGCAACAGCGCAGCGCCGCAACCGACTTGTGCTGCGTCACGGAGGAAGAGGAGGAGGAGGAGGAGGATGCGGTTGTCACGGCGGCGGCGGCGGCGGCTAGCGCGGTAAACAGCAGCGTGATGACGCAGAACAGCTTCCAGGACGTGCTCGGCCGGTCGAACGACGCGGGCGACGTTGCCGCGGGCAACCGCGCGTCGGTTGACGATGCGGGCGCGGCGGCGGGATGGGACGGGTGATGCGGCGACGGAGGCTAGGACTGAAAGACAGGTGGTCGTCGCGGTTAACGAGGTTAACGAGTGCACGTCGAGTAGCAACAGCAGGAACGTCAGTGAGCCGGAGATGTTGTTCCTAGAGAGAAGCTTTTCCAATGACGTTAGCTCTCTTTAGGCTGCCGGTAGAGTGATTGTGCCAGACGTGCCGGCCATCCACGTCTTGTTTTGCCAAAGGCATCGAATTCAGTGGTCAATTAGTGTTACATTCACAAGTGAAAGTGTATTGTCCGTAATGGGATGTAGGTGATATAAATTAGTATTCCACATATTATGAAAAAGATGTTTCTGTTTTGGAAGTCTGAAATGTAAGAGAAAGTGAAATCACTTAAACGTATACTTCAGCTGTAATATTTTATGACTTGTACATATTGTAATTAAGGCGCGTAT